TTTTGGTGTCTAAATAACTACTGGCCCCCCAAAAGCACAGAAATAATATTTCCTCCTTTTTTTTTTTTAAATCTAGCTTTTTAAAAAATCGTGGACTATTCCTTCTGAAAGATACATGGGGGTGCCCGGGCGGCTCAGTCGGTTAAGCATCCACTTCTTGATTTTGGCTCAGGTCATAATGTCACGGTTGTGAGATTGAGCCCCTCGTAGGCTCTGCCTGAGAGATTCTCTCTCTCCTTCTCCCTCTGCCCCTCCCCCACGCACACACACGCCCACTCTGCACACACATTCTCTCTGTCCCCCCCCCCAAAAAACAATTAAGGATATACAGCCACACTCTTACAAGGTCTCTAAGCTTAGTGCATCACTGATGAATTAAACATTTATTCATTTCAAATCCACCTATTTATTCATGTGATCCCAATTGTGGGCTCATCTTCTGCTTTACATTGAATAACAAAAGTGAAATATGGCTTCCTCCACCTGCCTTCCTGGTCAGAAAGGGAGGGTCCATCATGGCTGTTTCCCTTTCCCAAGACACCTGCTTGGACACCTGTTTTACAAAGAAACAGAAGCTGTCCCTAAGAGGAAATTGAACTTGTAACTTACAATTTTAGCAACTAAATGCCTGGGAAACCAATCTAGCTACCTTAACCCAGCTTTCCCAGATGCATGAGAATCCATTCCAGCAGGTCTACATTCAAGGCTGGGATAAAGGGGAGAGAATGTATCTATCAGGCTGTGAACCTTGAATCAAGAATATCCAAGTTAGCTTAATGACTTCAAAACAAAGGAGACAAACCTTGCTCTAACCCACATATTGAGGCAAGATTCTCATAGCTACACCTACTGGCACAGCCACCCTGAAGCCTTCAGTCATAGAGTCATTAACAGGGGCCAGAAGGAACCACCCCATCACATACTGTCTCCCTGTGTAACTTCCTATGAGTCTGTCTTCTCTATTGCATGGGGCCAAGACTGTATCTTACCCACCACTTGTGCCCAGATCATTGTATTTATTACCAATCATTGAATGGAGAGATGAATGGTCAAATTCCTTGTATTCAAGCAGAAGAATCCAGATGATTTAGGAATAACGGCTAAAGCTTACTATGTGCCACGCACCGTCTCAGTGCTTTAGAGGTATGAACTCATGTAACCTACAACCACCTTATGAAACGGGTACTATGATTATCATCATCCCATCTTTACAGATGAGGAACCAAGACTTGCCCTAAGTCACACTCAAAATGGTGGAACCTGGATTTGGACCAAGGTTGTTTGCCCCAAGGGTCCGTGTGTTTAAGCATCATGCCAGGCTCCTTCCATCTGTTCTATTCTTGAAAATGTCCAGGGAGGAGAAGGATTATGACCATTATGGAATTTGTCATCCTGACAGTCAAAAAGCTGCCTTTGGATCTGGATGAGGTTTCTCTTGCTTTAATGTCAACCTCATTTATCCATTTATTACTGTGAATGTTTTCTGAGATTTCCTTACTCCTCTATAGATGCAAAAATCTTTTATATTCCTAAAAATAAGCATTAAGCCAAAATTTTCACTTCTCTTGTTTATGTAAAAACTCCAGTCCATTTGATTTTTCTTGCAGAACCCAATTTTTATTCCTTCAGTTTTTTTTATTTTTATCTCCAAGCCTGCTCTAGCATGTAGAATAGAAAAGGTTCCTGTACATAGCATTTATTTGTATTTATTCCAACATTCTGTAGGGTTTTCCATCAGAAAACTATAGTGCTATCTTGTGTGTTTAGTCTTATTTTTTTTGTTTTTAATTTATTTTTGACAGAGAGAGGCAGAGCATGAGTGGGGGAGGGGCAGAGAGAGAGAGATTGAGAGAGGGAGGGAGGGAGACACAGAATCCAAGGCAGGCTCTAGGCTCTGAGCTCTCAGCACAGAGCCCGACACGGGGCTCGAACTCACGCACCATGAGATCATGACCTGAGCCAAAGTCGGACGCTCAACCGACTGAGCCACCCAGGCGCCCCTGTTTAGTCGTAGTTCTGGTGACACCCTTGCCCCTTTGCAATACAGTGTCCAACTGGCTTCTTGCCTCCCTTTATGCGAGTTCATCTTTTTTTTTTTACCTTTATTTATTTTTGAGACAGAGACACAGCATGAACGGGGAGGGGCAGAGAGAGAGGGAAACACAGAATCGGAAGCAGGCTCCAGGCTCTGAGCCATCAGCCCAGAGCCCGACGCGGGGCTCGAACTCGCAGACCACGAGATCATGACCTGAGCCGAAGTCGGACGCTTAACCGACTGAGCCACCCAGGCGCCCCAACGAGTTCATCTTTTGTATCTCGAGTTTAGTTTCTACTTGAATCAGGGTCTGTGTCATTGAATTTCATCCTCTTTGTGAATTTCTGATTTGTCAAGTTCACTTTAAAAAAAAAAAAGTTTATTTATTTTGAGAGAGAGCAAGAGAGCATGAGTGAGTGTGGGGGAGGGGCAGAAAGAGGGAGACAGAGAATCCCAAGTAGACTCCGTGTTATCAGCAGAGAGCCCAAGGCGGGGCTTGATCCCACAAACCATGAGATCACAACCTGAGCCGACGTCAAGAGTCAGACACTTAACCTACTAAACCACCCAGGTGCTCCTCAAATTCACTTTTAAATTTGATTCTTACCTTCCAGAGTACTTCCTTCTGGCTGCTGAAAGTAGTCATGGGAAGTGTTTTTGGAGAATTCCCCCTTGTGGTCTGTGTAATGATATATAACCCACAGATTCCCTGTTCTGTGGCACAGTTCTGTCCCCAGAGAAGGGAGATCTGTGGTGTCCAGATATCAGGAAATAGAACTGTGCCACAGAACAGGGAATCTGTGGGTTATGTATCATAATACGCAGTGCTCGACCTTCTCAGCCTCTCCTACAGGCACCAGGAGTAATATCCCCAGACCCAACCCCATCCAATCCCCACAATGACAATGAACTCTAAAGCCTACGGCCCTATTCCTCACAAGGGTCTGTCCTAGAAGGTAACTCGTGATCTCCAGGTTTCCCTCGCTAACCGAACATTTGCTTTACATCACAGTGCTTTTACAAAAGTCCTGTGTTAATACCCGCTTTTGCTAATGAAGAGAAATCCAAAGAGGATTTTGGATTTTATAAAATGTTATTGCTTCTTGGCTTTACAGCATTTTGGTTCATAGGAACGTTCTACTTTTGGATATCAAGGGAGACCTGTAATTCAGAAACTAGGTGGAAAAATCACCCAGGCAGAGCATATCTCTGCTGGAAGAGTCTGCGGCCTCTTGACTACTAGCAGTAACTCTGCTCTCCAGATAGCAAGGCCTGAGGGGGCCCAGTCTGAATCTAACAGTTAGCAGTGTGAGCTAGTGACAGTGTGAGTGACTCCACCCACTCAGAGCCGAATTGCTAAGGATGGCATGCATTTTGCCTGGAATGTATTGGAGATGAGGAAGGGCAGAGAAAAATCTTTACCAAGCAAAGGCTAGAGCTCCTGGAGAGGGGCGAGGCTTGTTAAAGTGCCTGGGACCTCAGCACAAGAAGAAACATTTACAATGAAAGGGCAGTTACCAGACTGAATTAGGAGACAGGTGGCCAGTTGCTTGTAGAGAGGGTGTACATTTCAGGCCACACATCAGCTAGGCCAGACATGGAACTTTATTGTCTAGAACCAAACCTGAATTGTACCCAGTGGGAACTGGGTCTGATCATCGATGTCCCCCACCCCAACCCTCACCCCACCATCCCTAGAGGTCCGGGGTCTTGCCGCTTCCCGGGGGCACAGACAGGTGCACTATTCACCTGGTCGGTGTCAGCTGTGGTTGCATATGGTCTCCAGCCCTTGTTCCCAGCAGGTCACCTCTGGTCCTGTCCATCCCAACTGTGGCATCGTCCATGTTCCTCAGAACCACAGAGAACTCGGTGGGGCCTCGGGACAGACCTTTCTGCCCCAGTGCTCCTGCACTGAGGGGGTCCTCCAGGAGATTCGGGGGCCTTTCCATTTTCCTGAGTTTCATTCTGAAACAAAGCCTGAGGCCCCTATGCTCTGATTTTCCCTGGAAGTGTGGAGTTTCTGTGTGTGGACACACATGTACACACCAGCTTACATCTGTGCACACGCACGTACAAACACGTATGCGTAAACACATACGCACAGGCACAGAGCTCATTCTCAGATACTTCCCAGAGTCTCCACTCTTTGTTTCTAGTTTGGAGTCGGGTGGGGATGTAATGGGGTTAGGGTGTGCTTTTTCTTACTAACCATTCTTCCAAAACTTTTTGTTTCTGGTACAAATTTTATGCTCCCAGTCCTTAAAGGTTTAGGCTTAATTTTTTATTTTTATTACAAAAAA